GTGTAGAAATCTACTTGCCATACAGGAAAGTAGAAAGGGAAGGGGATAAGAGAAAATAGGGGAAGGATGAGTTGATAGAATGGAGGACAGTTTGGGAGAGGTAAAAGAAGCAAAATACTTTTGAGAATGGACAGGGTAAAAAGAGAAAGAATGATAAACAGGGGGGAAATAAGGTGAAGGGAAATACGTAGTTTGTAATCCCTATTGTGAAAAAAAAATTTACAGTGAGTTTCTCTAATAAAGACTTCATTTCTCTGATGATCTAGAAGCTCTCAGAAAAACCTGGAAAGACTTGCATGGGCTGATGCAAAATAAAATGTACTGAGTACAAAGTAACAGCAATATTGTAAGATGATCAGCCATGAATGACTTAGCTATTCTCAGCAATACAAGGATCCAAGACAACTTTGATGATGAAAAATGCTATCCATCCCCAGAGAAAGAATCGATGGTGTCTGAATACAGATTGAAGCATACTTTTTTTTTAACTTTATTTTTCTTCAGTTTTTTTGTCTATGTTTTCTTTTACAACATGACTATTATATACATGTTTTGCATGACTACACATGTATAACCTACATGGAATGGCTTGCCTTCTCAATGAAGGGGGGTGATAAGGGAGGATGGGGGAGAATTTGGAACTCAAAGTTTTAAAAACAAATGTTAAAAATTGTCTTTACATGTAACTGGGGAAAAATAAAATACTAAATAAAAGCTAAAAAAAGGGACCTCATTTCTCAAATCTATAGAAAACTGAGTCAAATTTATAGAAATTAGAGCCATTCCTCAATTGATAAATGGTCAAAGGACATGAACACGCAGTTTTCAGACAAGGTAATCAAAGCTATCTATAGTCATATGAAAAAATGCTCTAAATCACTATTGATGAAAGAAATGCAAATTAAAACAACTCTGAGCTACTACCTCACACCTGTCAGATTTGCTAATATGACAGAATAAGAAAATGACAAATGTTGGAGGGGATATGGGAAAATTAAAACACTAACATACTTTAAGTGAAGTTGTATACTGATTCAACCATTCAGGAGAGCAATTAGGAAGTAGGACCAAAGTGCTATAAAACTATGCATAACCTTTCACCAGGCAATACCACTACTAGGTCTGTATTCCAAAGTGACAAAAAAAAACCAAAAAGGAAAAAGACGTATGTGTACAAACATATTTATAGAAGCTTTTTTAGTGGTAGCAAAGAATTATGTCATCAATTGGGAATGGCTGAACAAGTTGTATGTGATTGTGATGGAATACTATTATGCTTTAAGAAGTAATAAACAGCTGACCTCAGACACTTGACACTTACTAGCTGTGTGACCCTGGGCAAGTCACTTAACCCCAATTGCCTCACCAAAAAAAAAAAAAGCAAGAAGTGATGAACAGAATGCTCTCAGAAAAACATGGAAAGACTCATATGAAGTGATGCAAAGTGAAGTGAGCAGAACCAGGAGAACACTGTACACAATAACAGCAATATTGTATAATGATCTGCTATTAACAACTTAGCTGTTCTTAGCAATACAATGATCCAAAGGACTGTGCATCTCCAGAGAAAGAACTGGTAGAGCCTGAAAGCAGATCAAAGATACTTATTCTTAATTTTCTTGTTTTTTTTTTTTGGTCTGTGTTTTCTTTCACAGAATGATTTTATATGGAAATGTGTTTTGAATGACTACACATGTATAACCTACATCAAAATTGCTTGCCTTCTCAATGGGGTGGGAGGAGGGAGAGAATTTGGAACTCAAAATGTGAAAAAAAAAGTTAAAATTATTTTTACATGTAATTGGGAAAAACACATTACATAAGATTAACACAATTCTATTAGTCTCTGCCCTACTTCATTTTGTACTCCAAGGCCAAACTTGTTTGTTATTCTAATTATGTTTTGATTTCATTTTGTAGCATTCCAAACCCCTATGATGAATGAGACATCTCTTTTCTGGTGTTATTTTTAGATGTTGTAGGTCTTCATTGTACTGATCAACTTTGGCCTCTTTGGCATCAGTGGTTGGAGCATAGACTTGTACTGCTGTAATGTTGAATGGTTTGTCTTGGATTTGAAGAGGTATCATTTGGTTTTTTTTGAGATTATACCCCATTACTGCTCTTCTCACCCTTTTATTGAGTATGAAGGCTACTCCATTTCTTCTAAGGGATTCTTGCCCATAGTAGTATATATATTGATCATCTGAATTCAATCCACCTATTTCCATCCATTTTAGTTCACTGACACCCAAGATGTCAATATTTAATCTTTCCATTGCCTGTTTGACCATATCCAGCTTACTTTGGTTCATGGATCTTACAGTTCCAGGTTCCTATGCAATTATTGGCCTTTGCAGCATCAGACTTTCCTTTAGTCACCAGCTGAATCCAGAGCTGAACTTCCTTTAGGAAGTCACTTCATTATGACTGGAGCCACTTGTAGTTGTCCTCAGATCTCAACCCCCCCTTTTTTTTTTCACTGTGTGACCCTGGGCAAGTCACTTAACCCCAATTGCCTAACAATAAATAAATAAATAAATTTTTAAGTAGCCTTTTAAAAACAATCCATATTAGTCATGTTGTCAAAGAAAACACAGACAAACAAAGCTGAAGAAAAATAAAGTATGCTTCAATCTGTATTCAGACACCATCAGTTCTTTCTCTGGAGATGGATAGCATAAGTCCTTCAAAGTTGTCTTGGATCACTGTATTGCTGAGAAGAGCTAAATCATTCACAGCTGATCATCTTACAATATTGCTGTTACTTTGCACATAGTACATATCACTTTGCATCAGCTTCTGTAAGTCTTTCTAGGTTTTTCTGAGAGCATCCTGCTCATCATTCTTAAGAAGCATTTTGATGAGGGTGAAAGAAGAGAATATAAAAGCTGGCTTGAAGCTTAACAAAAAAAAAATCATAGCAACTGGTCACTTCCTGACAAAGAGAAGGAGAAGAAATGGAAGCAGTGTCAGATTTTATACTCTTGGGTTCAAAGGTCACTGCAGACAGCAACTACAGCCATGAAATTGAGAGATGCTTACTCCTTAGAAAGAAAGCTATGGCAAATCTGAACAGCATAACTAAAAAGCTATGGTTTTTCCAGTACCAATGAATGGCTATGAGAGTTGGAGTATAAGGAAAGCTGAGCACCCCAAAATTGTTGCTTTTGAATTGTGGTGCTGGAGAAGACTTTTGAGAGTGCCTTAGACAGCAAGGAGATAAAATCAGTCAATACTTAAAGAAATTAATTCAGGCTATTCACTGGAAGGTCAAATACTGAAGCCACAGCTTAAATACTTTGGCCACATAATGAGAAGACTGTACTCACTGGAAAAGACCCTGATGTTGGGAAAGATTGAAGGTAAAAAGAAAAGATGATGCAGAGGATGAGAATAGTAGACAGTATCATGGCAATAACAAACATGAACTTGGGCAGATTTTGAAAGATAGTGGAGGATAGAAGGGTCTGTCATACTATGGTCCATGGGATCATGAAAACAGACATGACTGAACAACAACAATAATTTTTCAGAACCTCTCTCAATTATATGGGTCACATAGAATCATAACAATACATGCTCTCTGGCCCAGAGGACATAAAAGCCCTATTGGATTGGTCATGTCAACCACTGAGCTTTTCTAGGATTTTGTGGCTATTATCACAAATTTGTTGAGAACTATACTGCTTTTCTCTTTTTGTGGTGGCAAAGAATTGGACATTGAGGGGACGCCAATCAATCGGGGAATAGCTAAACAAGTTGTAGTATGTGATTATGACAAAATACCATTGTGCTATAAGAAATGATGAGCAGGATGCTTTCAGAAAAACATGGGAAGACTTATATGAAGTGATGCAAAGTGAAGTGAGTAGAGCCAGGAGAACATTGTACATGGTAACAGCAATATTGTATGAGGATCAGCTGGGCATGCCCTAGCTAATATCAGCAATTCAAAGATCCAGACAGTTCTGAAGGACTTATGATGAAAAATGCTATCCACCTCCAGGGGAAGAACTTACGGAGTCTGATTGTAGATTGAAGCATACTATTTTTTACTTTATTTTTTTTATTGTTTTGTCTCTGTTTTCTTTCACAACATGACTAATATGGAAATATGTTTTGCATTACTGAACATGCATAACATATCAGATTGCTTACCTTTTCAATGAGGGAAGAAGGTTGGAGGGAGGGAGAGAATTTAGAACTTGAAATTTTAAAAAATGAATGTTAAGAATTGCTTATATGTAATTGGAAAAAAATAAAATATTTAAAGCTAAAAAAAAAGAATCATGCTCATATATACTTGTGTATATATGAGTATTCCCATATGCCAAGAACAAAAAAAGAGATTGGAATATCCTGCATGTAATTTAGACACCTAGCCACTAAGCTGTTACATTGTTCATATAATGGTAACATGTACCTGATGTAGATGTTCCTATGAGATGATTACCTGAGTTATTGAGATAATCACTCTTGTTATTTTAAATGATATTTATTTTGATGATTGTAACATACATTTGCAGATTTCAAGTAGTCCTCAGATGATTTTGTAAAGGACTAAAAATTTTTTTGGCCACCAAGAAAGTTTTCCTTCTATTACAGCATAGATCCCCTCTCTTTCTCAGATAATATTATGGAGACTTGGTAAGCCAGAAATGTCTTCCTATGGGTAGACAGACATTACCCAGATTTTCCCAATTTCCTCTGGCTTTTGTAAGGGACAGCCTAGGACCTAGTGCCCAACAGTCCTGGGAACAGCAATGGTGGCACTTTTTGTGACAGCAAGGAATAAGAAGCAAAGAAGATGCCCATAGACTGAAGAATACATAAACAAACTGTGGTACATGAATGTAATGGAATATTACTGTGCTGCAAATGCTAAATACAGAGAAGTATGTAAAGAGCTATATGAACTGAGGCAGAGTGAAGTAAGTAGAGCCAAGAAATAATACATACAATAACTACAACAATGTAACTGGAAAGAACTTTTCAAAATACTCAAAAGTGAATGTTACAAAATTATAAAGAACAAACACGGCTCAAAAGAAGAGATATGAGAAGATATCCTCATCCAGCCCTTTGCAGGTGCAGGTCCACAAGTGTGGTACATTACACATATTTTCAGAGTTTTTCTCATGTATTGATCGGTTGTGCTAATTTTTCTTTCTTTTCTTTAAAAATATTGTTATATGGGATAACTCTCTGGGCGGTGAAGGGGAAAGGGCATTGGGGAAAATTATGGTGATGTAAAAAACCAAAATCTTATTTTAAAAATGTGAGCTACTGGAAATCAGATACTGTTTTCCTCTTGCTATATTCCTAGTAGTGGGTAACTGTGATGATTTGGGTCTCATCCACTACCCCGTTGCTATCTCTCCATCTTTGGATGACACGATGTTTTCCACATAGTGCTCTTAAACGCTTTTTGGTTCATTCATTTTGAACTGAGAGCGAGAATGATTTCCCGCGGCTACCAGCCACGTGATCTGTGAAGCTGCTCAGATCTGGATGGGTGGGGGTGGGATGGAGGAGAATGTTGTTGGCCACATGCCAATGAGAGGTGGACAAGCTAAGACTATCCGGAGGAGTAAAACTGATTGGGGCTGAAACAGCAGAGGATAGTTGTAATGATGATCTTGGGTCCCCGATATCCCTGGATCATTAGGGCTTTGCTACACCCCTCTACCCCTGCAGTTGGGGAACCACTTCCATTCACTGGTTCATTACTCATTTTCTGTTTTCCCCTCGGATTCAGATTTGGGGTTGGGGGAGGGATGGAGAAAAGCTCTTTGTTTCTTCCTCGATTGCCAACCAGCATTTTGGAAGCTCTGTTTTCATGCCTACGCTATTTACAATTAAGGAAAAACAACAAAACTAGATGGCGAAAAGGAACAGAGGAGATTTTAGTGTTTATTTTTTCTCCCCAGCATAGGCTGTATGGGGGACTGAGATGATTAGAGATAGAGCCTTTACTATTCTTAATAGTTTTCTGAGTACATATGAATATGTTCAAGTTGTACTCCTGGACCTTTTCCTTGAACCCAGGAGACAGAAAGACTGATAAGGAAAGCTTTGAAAAGCCACAGGTGGCGGGAAGGAGGGAGGGAGGAGGTTGGTGCTATTTTTTGCCTGAGGACACCTTAGCTGAATTGGCAGAGGCGCTAAACTGTTGCCTAGCCTTGCCCGGCACTGCAGGAGGTTAGCCATGTCCGGTCCTGCAGCCGGCTAGCATCGCCCAGGGCTGACGTCGCTGAGGCTTGCTGTGGTTGAGAAGGCTAGCTTTCCAAGACATGCAGGCACACACAATGAAGCCCTGGTTTCTCAAGAACACCGCGCCATTCGACTGCACCACCGCGGCCAAAGCGCAGCAAAGTCCAGGTTAGCGTGAATAACTTATCTGGTGAAGTGATGGCATTGAATTGAGCTACAGGGAGACCTGAGGATAGGAGCATCCATTTGAACCGCCACACCCCCACAGTCCTCGGACCGAGCAAGTCCACGCCTCAGAACTCCAAACGCTGTTAGGTGACGTCATAGGGTCGTGCAAAAGAGAACCGAGCGATGTGGCCCACGTGGGAACATCAAGACAGAGAGGCAACCCCTTGCCTTTAACCTATGAGCCTATGAAACTACAATCCCCAGAAGTCTCCGCGATCCCCGTCCTTCCTCCACCTTTCATCCACCCTCTGTAGCATGGCAACGGCGTGACGTGACCCGGGGACCCGAATTGGAGCTGCAGAGGACGCCGGCTTCAGTCTCAGCCAAGCGGGCTGACCGGGAGGAGTGGTTGCGAAGCACAGCCCCCTGCCCTTCTAGGCCTGATCTCCCTCCGGGGCTTCTCCCCTACCGGGCTGCCGCTCCCAGTCTGCAGGAAAGGCAGGAGCGCGCAGCGCGCATGGCGTTGGCGGGCGCGCGGCGGCTCCCAGCTGGAACGCGCGCGGCGGCCCGGCGCTGCTGCTGCCTCCGGCAGGGCGCGCAGCCCGCCCCGCCCCCGGGTCCTCTAAGAGCGCTGCAGTCAATGAGGTGAGGCCGCTCTCTCGTCTGAGCTGGAGCGGGTTGGGGGGACCGGTTGCGGGGCGGCTGCGGAGCTGCGATGCCTGTCCCTGTGTGCCGCCGCCTCTCCACGCGCCTGGTGGGCCCGACGGAACCGAGCGTGTCTGGCGTGGTCCAGGCCCGGGGGGCTCCGCTTCGGCCCCGCGCCTCAGCCCTCTTACTCGGCCAGCACCCGAGCTCCTCCCCCGGTCCTGTCCTCAGCCACCCCCGACCTTTAGCACTCGTGACCGCTTGGCAAGGGGCCCCGGCGGGTTGCAGCTGGTGCTGGGGGCGGGGATCAGGGAGCTCGCCCAGCTGACCTTTCCCCTGGGAAGACCCCCCTCATCCGGGCCCGACCGCAGACGGGCATGTAGTTGACTCGCCGCTCGTTGCAGGGGGCGCCCTGAGCTTTGCAACCAGCCCCGCCTGGGCAGGCTGACGCTGCCTCCTTCCTCTCCCCCTCAGGCTCTTGTCTTCATGCAGCCTCTTGCTGCCCAAAGCTACCGAGGCCTTGGGGGCTGAGGCTGGGCTTTCCCACAGGCGTTCTTTTATGGGCTTCGCTTCCCCATTCACCAACAAGCGCAAGGCATACTCCGAACGCAGGATTATGGGGTGAGAATCCCCTGCCCTTCCCCTTGATCCCTGGTGTTAAAAAAAAAAATAGGGTATCCCACACTGATCCGTCGAAAAGTTTACTGCATCTCCCACCATGGTCATGCTTTGCCTCCTGCTCACCTGGCATAACCTATATAATGATTCACTTCAAAGATCTGAGTACTACCCACAGAGCAGAAATACAAAGATTAAATAATTGACCCTTCTAGAATCTAGACCTTACAATAAATTATTTTGTTGTCACAGTTCCAGGCCATTGATGCCATTTTTCCTACTCCTATTTCCTTCAACCTCTACATAATTATCAGTGGTCAGGACAGTACTGCCTTGCCACAAGACACCTGAATATTTCCCAGTGGCCTGAGGATTAAACAAGCTTTTCCCAATTCTGAGTGCAGCATTGGCCTGATCTTTAATGTGTTCTCTTGGTTTGGAATGAGGGGAATTTGCCATTATGATTTGGGGAGGTCAGCTGATCTCCATATCCCTGGGATGGATGGGTTGTGTAAACATGTCTGTATACCAGTCAATGGTAAGAATTGGCAGGAGCTGGACCCCATACCTAGATCCTTGGCCCCTCTCTTTGAACCCCCCCCCAAATTGCCCCCCAGGTACTCAATGCAGGAGATGTATGAAGTGGTGTCCAATGTCCAGGAGTACAAGGAGTTTGTGCCTTGGTGTAAGAAGTCCCTAGTGGTGTCCAGCCGAAAAGGTCACCTGAAGGCCCAGTTGGAGGTTGGCTTCCCACCTATTGTGGAACGTTATACTTCAGCTGTCTCCATGGTCAAGCCTCACATGGTCAAGGTAAGGTACTGCTCCATTCTTAACTTTATACCATCAAACTTGGGGAGGCGGGGTAGTAAGGGGACAAGTTATTTTCTTTTCCTTTGCTAATTTAAATTACTAGTTTATATTTACTTTGTAATTTTCATTTCATATTTTGGGCTTTGCCCAGTGTAATTTATACATTGACTGACAACCCGTCTTTTTACCAGGCTGTCTGCACTGATGGCAAACTCTTCAACCATTTAGAAACCATCTGGAGATTCAGCCCTGGTCTTCCTGCTTACTCCCGAACTTGCACTGTGGACTTTTCGGTGAGTCAAGGCGCTGTGGCTGGGAAATGGTGGATGGTACTGTTAGTTCTTTGTCTCAAGTCAATTCAGCAAGCATTTTTATTTATTTAATGTGCCGGGCACTGTGCTAAGTTCCAACTACCACCTAGGCCAAAGGTGTCAAACTCTGTGGCTGCTCAGCTGTCAACAAAACTCCCCAGTGCAAGCTGAATCAGCTTAAAATCTAATTGGGAAGTATTTAACAAAATAACATAGTTAACTTGTGGTTTTCTAAATCAATGTGGCCACCAGGGATTTTGTTTCTTTTAGTGCTGGGCCTGGAGTCAGGACTTAAGTTCAGATCCAGCTTCAGATACTTACTAGCTGTGTGACATTTAACTCATTTGCCTGTTTCCTCACCTGTAAATTGGGGGACAATAGCACCTCCTTCCCAGGGTTGTCCTGAGGATCTTTAGATAATTGCAAAGCACCTGACATAGTGCCTGGTACATACAGTAAACTATATAAAAATATATATATATATATGGCATGCTTCCTAGGGGACTACTCCATGATTGAAATCACACTTTTGTTCTGCCTACTGCATAGCTTTTTTTTTTTAGTGAGGCAGTTGGGGTTAAGTGACTTGCCCAGAGTCATACAGCTAGGAAGTATTTATTATGTGTCTGAGGCCACATTTGAACTCAGATCTTCCTGACTCCAGGGCCTGTGCTCTATCCACTGCACCACCTAGCTGCCCCCCATATTTATTTTTGAATGGTTACTGAATTAAAGCTGTGGGTTAAAAGCTGTGAAGAACAGCATCATTGAATTTGTTCAGGGAAGTTATCCATGTTAAAGTGAGGGTTTGTCTCCTTTTGCCCCCATCCCCAGGTTTCCTTTGAGTTTCGATCACTGCTCCATTCTCAGCTGGCCACCATGTTCTTCGACGAGGTTGTTAAACAGAATGTTGCTGCCTTTGAGCGCCGAGCATCCACCAAGTTTGGTCCAGAAACAGTCATCCCCCGTGAACTCATGTTCCATGAGGTGCACCATACATGAGACCAGCTCCCTAACTTATTTATTTGGTTTGATCCATGCTCCATCCCCTGGGGCAAGTCTTGTTTATGTCCGCCTCCCTGCCTCCCCTGCCCTAATAGTTCTGGCTCTCCAGGGAGAGAGAACTCAGGAATCTGGAATGAGCTTCTCAATTAGGAGATGCTGAGGGGTAAGGGAGATCCCCAGGAGTTGGCTAGCCGGACTCCAGGAACTGAACCTTACATGCCTGTCTCCTTCTGGAAACTAAACTAAGAATTGCTGGGATTTTTTATCTTTGGCTATGCCTTGTGAGCTAGGGCTCCATTCCCTGTCTAACTTATGGTGCCTCAGTGTCTCTGGAAGGGTAAAGCAATCCCAAGTCTCCAGTAAAGCGATATTACACTGTTCCTCTCTCTTGTTTAGGAGCTAAGGGGATTGGGCCAGTTCTTATTGTCTTGATAAAGAAGCCATATGAGGGAAAAGTAACTTCCATTTTGGAATCCAGGTATCTGAGGTTCTATCTAAAGTCTGCTTTCCAAAAAAGGAAAATTTCCCCCACCTGGCTAATATATGTAGGATATCAGAGGAATTTTTTCCCCCCTTCCAGGGTGGAGGGGAGGCTTTAAGTAAAGCTGCACTTACTTCTAGCCTGTCCCTTTCTTCCACCTGGGCTGAGTGTTTTGATGAAGAGCCAATAAACCAGTTGTGCGGATTTGGTTTTGTAATGCTTCTTAGGTGAGGAATACAAGGCAGGAAAAAGGTAGCCCTGTACTACAGTGTCTTTGGACACAGTGTCCCTGCTAACTATAGCCCCACATTCCCCTGGCTGGGGCCCGCTCTCCAGGCCCTTCTTCACTACTATTTATAGCCTCTCTTCAGAAGGTCAATTGTAGCAGGAACCTACTGGGGGAAGGGATTGGAAGGTAGTGGCACAAGCAAGAAGGGATCCAGACCAGGAACACCAAGCCTGGTCTCAAAGGTGCTGGGAACAAGAGCCATTGTAACTTTTTGTGTGATGGCCTCTCTGCCATTAGGGTAAAGAATCCTATGGACACTCTTAAAAAGATGTCTTTAAATGCAAAAAAATAAAATACATGTGAGTACAAAGGAAAACCAATTATAGTGAAGTCAAGTTATCAAAATACTAAAGAAAAGTTCACCACTGGGAAACTTCCTAGACCCGGGCTTCAGTAACACCTCCAACACTAGCTAGCTCTCCGAACCCCAGTTTCCTATCTAAAATAATGATCATTTCTAGCACTAATAACTTCACAAGAGTTGGCTCAAAGGAGTTAATTTAAGTGCTATGTGTTGTATCCTACTAGTTTGTGAAGAGGTTATTGCCACCCAAGCCCTGGCCTACTCCACCCCCACCACTAATCCTCTCAAGAGATACCTGTAGTGTATACTGTAGCCATTTTCTGGCAAGAGGGCAGAATTATCAGCCCTCACCCCCAAGGTCATGCTTTAACTCCTTTCACCCAGTGAGCTGGGTGGTAAAAAGAGAAGGAAGTAAAGGTTTGGAATTACTGTCCAACAAACTTCATGGACACCCCTCCCCCCAAGATAGTAGTTATACTATCAATATCCATCAGCTGAAAAAACATGGATTATGGATTCCTTTCCAAAAATCCATGGTATCTTCTCCAAAGAGTCTAAGGCTGCCAACAAGTTGGAAATTACTGGGCTAAGAAGAGTTCCTGATACTTGAAGGAAGATAAGGAAACTCCTGAATCAGCCACTTCAAAGCCTTTGCCTTTTATCTCTTATGGCTTATATGACATCAAGACCCAGCTTTGTTAATAAAAACATTTATTTTGTGTTTTATACAGAATAACCTGAAATCTGCAACAGGACTCTCAACAGTTACCGAGGGGTTCATAGACAGTGTGTCCATCTCCACGGCTTGGTTCTAGGGACAGGGGATCCACACAAATACAGGCAGGATTGGAGGTGATGGATGAAGGGGACACAGTGAGAGGAGTGTATTTCAGTCCTTTCTCAAAGAAGAGGCAGCAGAGCATTGTGAACCACTGAAAAACCTGTGCAAATGGGGCTCTAAACAATGAACCACGTGGCAGGGAAGGCGGGGGTTAAGGGTTAAGAGGGGAGTTGGAAGGAGAGGATGACTTGGATGAACAAGTTTGGTTTTTTTTAGGGGGGGGAAGTTGTGGTTATTTATATTAATAATGCCCTAAGCCTTGGGGTCTAATACTAACAGGATCAAACCTGTTCAAGTGATTTTCACCTCCAAGTTTTAAAAAGAAAAGATTATCCCTGTGGGCATATCATAAAGACAGCATGCTAGGCCATTTGCAGGCCCCCGCTCTTTAGAGTACATATGGAAAAAGAAGTGGGTAGAGGTTTGTGGCCTGATCTATTTGGATGTGAACACAGTTCACAGTAAACATGGTGTGGGAGGTGGAGACAGAGAGACTGTGACATAGGAAGAGGCCTAAACCAGTGGTATGTACAAAATGAAGGATAAGAGAAGTCCCCAATATGCTAAGTCCAAAGTTCTTCTAGCTCAAGGAGTAGCAAGTACATAAAGTCTGCATGAAGGCAGTTTCTTTAAAATAGTAAAAGGTATCCAAGACCTCATCTTTTAAAGGAAAAATAAACAAAAAAGTCCAAGTCTTAACAAATGCCATTGTCTCTGTTCAACTGGTGGCAGAAGATGCCAAAATGTCCTGATAATTAACAGCTCAGGTGTGTGTGTGTGTGTGTGTGCGCGCGCGCACATTATGGCGGGGGGGGGGAGGCATTGGAGCAGGTTGTAATGTGTTTGGGGTTGGTGCTGAGACTCCAACATGATAACATGATTCCTATGGAAAAGTAATTTGGGGGATCACAGTTCTGGTTTTTGGCCTACTGGTGGGGAGATGTTTGGTTGGGTGTGGGAGTAGGCTAAGTAAAACAAAACCCTAAATCTCCAAAGTAAAGAAGTGAATGCAGATTCCCTGTAACCAGCAATGACCCTGTTGGGGCAGGGCATACACTAGGGCTTCCACTCTAGATGAGGCAGGGGGGCCCATCCTGGCCCATATCTGTATTAGTCTAGTTCAATCTACAATCAGTGGACAACTCCTACACTGGGCAGGGGAGAGGGACTAGTTAGGGGAGATAGTCTCATCTCTGTCTTTTTTTAAACTCTTAATTTACACTTTAAATAACCTCAAACTTAGTGTGTCAGTGCCTCAAATATAATTTAATCCTAAAAGTCTTTAAAGGCCCCCTGAAACAAAAACAAAGAAGTATGTACTGTCACTCTTCAAAGTCTCCTCACTCTAGCAGGCATTCTCTTCCCCCTCCCTGCCCAGTTCCCATCTTTACCCTGACTTTGAGCTTACAAACTGCATCAAGCCATCTGTGCTCATAGACTTGGGCCTCTCTAGGGGGAAACCCAGAGCTCTGCTCCAAATGAGCTGTGCCAGCACCCCCAGCGCCCGTGAAACGCCAAAGAGAACTTGTGTAGTAATTCATCTCTGTCATGCCGTAGTACTGCAGGGTAGAAAAAGAAAAAAAGAAAAGGATTTAGGATGAAGGGTAGGGATGGCAATGAGCAGAAAGCAGGGTTTGGTGATGTGATCCAAGTTTTCTGTTTTCCTCATAGCAGGCACTGGCTTAATGGCTCAGAGCTGGGATGGAGCTGGGAGAACCAAGACAACTTGGAAGCTAGAGGGGAAACACTTGCCATGGACATTTGTTACAAAGACCTTAGAAGTGTATGAAAGAGAACTGGGGAAACAGCCTGGAGAATTTGCTTTTGGGGTGGTCAATCATTTGATTTGTTAGTAGGGCTTTTGATGTGGCTGGCCAGCCAGCCATGGCAAGGGAGATCAGGGAGGAAGTAAAACAGAAGGTAGGAGGTCCTTACCTGCAGAAGCACCCCACTGTGGGCATCTACATTGGGCCACGGGTTCTTGGCTTTGCCCTGCTCCAAAAGGATATCAGGTACAATCTTGTAGAGTTGAGCCACCAATTTAAACATGGGATCAGCAGGCAGATGTTTCAGAGCAAATTCCCGCTGACAGGTATATCGTGGATCAGTTTTTCTTAGTACAGCATGGCCATAGCCAGGGACCACCTAGAAGGGTGTGGAAGCTAATCAGTACTTCTAGAGAACTCCCATTCCCTTCCTCAAATTCCTCAAAATGGGCAATGAGAAATCAATGATCTAATGAGAAGTTTAGGCAGACTCCCAACTCTCTTGTCCCAGATGCCAGGGAAGGCTGGAATTTATTCTCTTCTCCTACCCAACTCTTCTCATCTAGGAAGTCTGGATCTGATATTCCTCTCATCTCGCCATCATCATGTTTTGCTTACCCTGCCTGAGTTGAGTGTGTTCCAGATGTAGTCACGAAGTTTTTCATCAGATACATCTTTGCCAACTTCTTTCTGCAACTTCGTCAGCCAGACAAGTACTTCCTGTGGATAATGTGGCAGGGGGAGGTCAACACATAGGTTAGAAGAAGACAGTTGGAGGACCAGGAATGGAAAGAGCTGAAAATACAAGGCAGGAAGCCAGAAGAGTTGGCTATTACCTGATTGGCTAGTCCATGGAGAGGCCCAGCCAGTCCATTCATGGCAGCTGCAAAGGCCAGATAGGGATCTGAAAGAGCACTGCCCACCAGATGGCTAGTGTGGGCACTTACGTTGCCACCCTCATGGTCACTGGAGGAAATAAGAAAAATAAAGTCAGTTATCCATATATACCTGTGTACAGGGGATGGGGGTGTTGGCAAAGAATGAAGGCAGAAGACTAGAAACAATGACTTAGTTGCCTTCCAGCATAGCTTCTTGGGGTAGCTATTTTGACTCCCTCCTTTGACCTTTTTTATAATAACCACTATAATCCCTGGATCCAGGTTTTAGGTTTATTCTCCCCCATAGCTCTTTCCCTGAAATAATAAGTGAATGAGTGACTTCTTCCAAAATTTTCCACATATCCAGATACTTGGTACCCAAGTGTGGCTTACCTGTGGATTGTGAGGTATAAGCGCATGAGCTCAGTAAACTGGGCATCACTGTAGCCCAACATGCTGGTGAAGTTTTGAGACCAGTCCAGTTTGGTGTCTATAGCCCCAATGCTGCTGCCCTCACGATATAGATTCCGGTAGATCTTTGCTGCAACACAAGGTAGCTTGGCAATGAGATCCATGCAGTCCTCATAAATCAGCTTGGGAAAGGGAGGGCGAAGAAAAGGAAAAGGCGGTATTAACTTCAGAGAGCTGGATAAAAAGAAATGACGTCTTATGCCATAATTGTTCCACAATTATATCTATGGGATGCTCAGATTATTATTGCATCAGTGGCGTTTGTTGAGTGTGTTAAAACGTTGCCTGATATACCAAACTCCTTTTCTGAACTACTGTACTCATACTATTTAAAATACTTGTTATCTAGTTGTTTCATGACAGTCTTGTCTCCACAAGATTTTAAGATTGGGACACAAAGAAGGTACTCAATGACTGTGGTATGATATCAAAATGATAATTCAACACAGCTTAATTTAAATGCTAAAGAATAAGAAGACATGACTAAATAAACAAATCTCTACGATAATGTCTACCATTCATTAACCCACTATCAGTTCCACCCAGGACTGGTTCAGGGAGAGTGTGGCTTAAATTAAAAACTTACTTGAGAAAAAAAAAATCCGAAATATTTAGCTAATTTCTCGCAAGTTCTCAAGGAAGAAGAATACTTATAAAGTATTATCCTGATAATCAGGATATCCACCTCTAGCTAAGAAACACCCATGAGTCAAAGACTGGGTTTAGGCAAATCTATGGAACACAAGATTCATACACAGAACCCCACCCACCCCTCATCCCCTCTGCCAAAAAGCCTTGAAAAGAATAAATGATCACTTTCATCATAAAGAATATGTACAGAAAGGACAATTACTAATCAACATTTCCATCACTGAATAAGAAGCTTCAAAGAATGAATTTCTAAAGGTGCCAATTAAGAGAAAATGCTGTTACCACTTCTGTCAAAAAGCAAAAATGGCAAATCTTTAAAAAGCAAGGGGAGATGATACTTGCACATAACAATATGATCTTTATCACATATCAGACACACAGCATGAACACCGCTATACTATATTCAAAGATCTTACAAAAGGTGATAACATTAACTGATGCTGTGTGAATAGGTACTAAGCAAATCTGGCTACATGGGTAAATTCAACAACTTCCAAACTAAAACAGGCTGACCAAGTTGAGTATTCAGGAGTATTCTGATTTATTTCCTATCATTAGAGTGAAGGTTACATATTTATGCAGTTTCATGCTGTATCCTGATAAAGGAACAAAGCTAGTATGATTTTTTTTCTTAATACAGGTGATCTAATAAGTTTGAAATGTCACTGAAATTCTAAACAAATAAAAAGGGTCACATCATAAAAAATTGGAGGAAAATGGATGGAGGCCACTCTCGTAGAATTACAGATGGGGGAGAATATTCTTAACTGATGCAGATCTGTTAAGGGGTTAGAGGAAGTCACACATACAAAAAAAGAAAACCAACACAATTTCAACTACATGCGACTGAAAGTTTTGCAGAAACAAAACTATTTTTAGGGTAACAGACTGCTGATTGGGGAAAAGTTTTGCATTAAATATCTGATAAGCATCCAATATATAAGATATATAGGAAATCAGCAAAAGATTACAAAAATGGTTAATGTTAGAGGGACTTGGGGCAGCTAGGTGGCTCAGTGGATAGAGCATGGGCCCTGGAGTCAGGAGGACCTGAGTTCACATTAGGCCTCAGACATATAACATTCACTAGCTGTGTGACTCCGGGCAAGTTACTTAATTGCCTCACAAAAAAGAAAAAAAACCAGTTCATAGTTTAGAACGATTCAAGAAACATAAAGAAAAGAAAAATGTTAGAGGGAAGCTTTGGGAAGACAGGCAAACTGTTCCAACCTCTGTGAAAAGGAAATTGGAATTATTCAAAGAAAGCTACTAAAATGGCATTTACCCTTTGACCCAGAAATCCCACTGCTGGGTATATATTCCAAGAAGGTAGATAGAAAGTTTCCATATATTTTGGCAAATATTAATTAAAGCAGCTTTTGTGTTAGCAAGGAACTGCAAACAAAGTAGCTAAACTATGACACATGAATGTACTTAAGAATAGGCAAACATGAATTCAGAGAAACATGGAAGTCTCATATAAAGTAATGCAGAGTAAAGTAAGCAGAACTAGGATTTTCTAAACAATCCATGACTACAACAATATAAACAAAAAAAACACTTCACACTGTATAATTATTAAAACTAGGCCTAGTTCCTGAGAAGAGAAGATATACCTCCCTCCCAAACTTTGCTGCAGAGTGAGGAGACTAATAACATGAAACAATGCAAACATGGTTGGAGGCAGTGTATTCATCAGATGACTTTGCTGAAATATTCTTTTTAAAAAAATCTTTGTTATTGGGGCAGCTAGGTGGCTCAGTGAATAGAGCACGGGCCCTGGAGTCAGGAGGACCTGAGTTCAAATCCAGCCACAGACACAAAACACCAGGAGCTATGTGACCTGGGCATGTCACTTAACCCCACTGCCTAGCCCCCTCTCCCCCCAAAATAATCTTTGTTACAAGGGAAGGCTCTACTTGCGGGTAGTGGTAGGGGTTGGACATAATTAGAAAATGTGATATGAAAACAAAAAGAATCAATAAATTTTTTTAAAAACAGAAGACTCAGAACTTTATACCATATATATTTATTGTATATATATATATATATATATATATATATTTGACATATAAATGTTATAAAAATTATTAATGAGAAACAAGTGAAAGCTGTCACTGAATCTCATTCAGACAGCATACTTATGCGAAACACTAGTCCACAAAGTGAAAAACAACTGAGGAATGTGTATCCTTTGGGAAAGGAAATGACAAAGACGATGTCACCAATAGGACATCAAACTCAACCAAACTCAAGTCTAGAAAAGGTAATGTTCTTAATTCTTTTCATGAGTTCTAGAACCACCCAAAGCATAAAATCTTGCTAGCTGTTCAACTGCATCACACAATAACGCTCAGCTAGGCAGTCTAGCAGATAGAACACCTGAGTTCAAATCCAGCCTCATATACTTAATAAGCTGTATAACCCCAGGCAAGTCACTTGATCTTTATTTGCCTTAGCCTCTTCATTTGCAAAATAAGGAGAATCAATTCTCTCTCAAGAGTTATTGTGAGAATCAAATGAGGTGTTTGTAAAGGACTTAGCAAATTGCCTGGCACAGAGCCAGTGCTTCATAAATGCTTATCCACCCCACCCACCACCATTTGTCAATGTCATCATCCATGATTTGCCTAAGAGAGATGCCTATAGATTGAAGGTTGAACAGATGTCTAATTCCAGACCCTCTCCTCCTCCACCCAAAGAAGGGCAGCTTTTGAAAAAACTACAATTCAGTAAGCTTGACATCAATCCTGGCAAAATTCGTGTATTTAGGAAGGGATATAATGATCACTAGGAGGCAGCATAGATCCACTAAGACTTAAGTCATGCTGTAGCGATAATACCTAGGTTTCAACAAGACTAAAAATATTTGATGGTTACTCATTGTATCCTTATGGAGAGACGAAGAAATGTAGGGTTGATGATAGGTAAGGGGACCTTAAGTGGTAGAATGACACCACTCAAAAAATGCTGATTAAATGTTTTAGATGACAATAAGCCAGGTGGGAAAGAACACAAAATTGTATGACAAAAATCAGACCCTGGCTGTCCTAAAAGGATACACTGAATCTAATAAGATTAAATGTGGGTAATAACTATAAAGTCCACTACTTAGGCTGAAAATAATTAAACAACTGTAGAATTGGGGAGGTGTGCCTAGATAGCAGTTAATCTGAAAAGGCTAGAGCTTAGTTTACTGCAAAGCTTAATGTTAATTAATTATATTTTACAGCAGCCAAAACCCCTCTTCCTTCACATAATTTTGGGCTGCATTAACATAAATACAGTATTAGAACAAGGGAAGTAACTGTCTACATCAATCAGACAGCACATGAATGCCATATTCAGTTCTGGGCACTGACAATGTGGAATATTAAGACAATTACAATAATACCATCTTATATTTGTATAGCATCTTATAATTCTCAAAGCACTTTCACGTATATCATCTTATCTGATTTTTACGACAATAGCATGAGGTTGATAGCTATCAATGAGGAAACTAGAGCTCAGAAATGTCACATGTACTACTAAAATTTATTCACTGTCATATCAAATTATCTTTATAGGGGTACAAAAGATAACAAAATTCATCTGGAGGAACCAAAAGTCAAAAATCTCAAGGGAAATAATGAAAAAAAAAGTGAAGGGGGCCCAGTAGCAACAGATCTCAAACTACAGTACAAAGCAATAATTATCAAAACCATTTCATATTGATTAAGAAAAAAAAGATGTCAAATCAGTGAAACACAGTTATAACAAAGAGAAGTAAATAAACCTAGTAGCTTAGTGTTAGATAAACCCAAAGACTCCAGCTATGGGGGTAAGGACTCACTATTTGACAAGAACCTCGGGGAAAACCAGAGAGCAATTTGGCAGAAATTAAATTTGGGCCAACATCTCACACCATATACAAGATAAGCACCAAATGAATATATGACTTAGACACAACTGTGGTTAAAGGAAGTGTTCAAATCATACAAGAGCTAGAAAGGATTCACAGAAGATAAAGTAGATAATTTTGATTACATAAATATTAAAAAGTTTTTGCACAACAAAATCAATACAACTAAAACCAGAAGGGAGACAGTTAACTGTAAGAAAAAATCTTTGCAGCAGGTTTCCCTGATGAATGTTCACTTTTAAGATTCAAATTTTACAAGAATAAGAGCCACCCTCTAACTTATGCATGGTCAAAGTATATGAATAGACAGTTTTCAAAAAGAAGAAATCCAAGCTGTTAACAGCCGTAAGAAAAAACCTTTCCAATTAAGAGAAATGTAATTTAAAGCCACTCTGAGGGGCATCCTATTCAGAAATATAGGCTATTTGCTCCCTCTCTCCATAGACAGCTAGAGAATGCTCGAAGTTGTGGCTGATTGGAACCAGTCCCTTGAATCGATGGCTTTAGTTCAATGGCAGAGCCTTGAGACCCTAAGAGGTAGGATATCAAACTATTTAGTCTTCTGAGAAGGAGAGGAAGGTGTCAGGGAGGAGAAAAGAGGAATAGTGGTCATAAAAGCCTAAGATGAGTCTGCTTTATTCATCATTCTGGCAGGTCTCAAGAAAATCTAAGTCTAGGGGCAGCTAGGTGGCGAAGTGGATAGAGCACCAGCCCTGAAGTCAGGAGGACCTGAGTTCAAATCCGGTCTCAGACCAAACACTTGACAGTTACTAGCTGTGTGACCCTGGGCAAATGAGAGAGAGAGACAGAGAGAGAGAGACAGACAGACAGACAGAGAGAGAGAGAGAGACAGAAAGAAAGAGCGAGCTAACTCTTCCAAGACTCCCAATCCTACAAGTCATTTCCTTCACCTGCCCTCACCTCACCAACCTCACTCTTAACTTCCTCTCATTTGACATTATCGTTATCTTACCTCCCAGTATCTGGCCCGATTGATGCCTTCAGCATAAGCTCGAGCAAAGTTACTCTCACTGTTGAGGGCGGTGACAGCTGCACTGAGCTGAGACATTGGATGCAGATTAGTAGGGAAGTTGTCCAACATGGTGACCACGTGGGAGGGCAGAGCAGCTCGTTTTGCCCATTCTTTGGACAGCCAGCTCACCTGGAGATAAGAAAACAATATGCAGAACACTGGGGATGGAAAGAAAATACAGACAGGATAGAAAGTAGAGACAGCAAAAGCTTACCAAAGAATGTCAAGGATAGATCAATCCACTTAAATAGTAGATCTCTGTACTCAATTCCATTCCCTTGTCTTGTCCTCACTACCACCCAAATCAGGATTAAGTGTCCAATATAAAGAGAAAAGGGGGAGGGGAAAGGCAAATATATTGCCTCTGTATGTGGATGGAAGGCTAAGTGTCCTCCTGCTTTACCTGCTCCTCATTTGGAATTTGTCCAGTCACAAGCAGCCAGAATAAACCCTCGGGAAGGGGTTCTTCCCCTCCCTTGGCCTTAGGGAGCAACTTCTGGCACTCTGGGATACTGTAGCCACGGAAACGGATGCCCTTGAAAGAAGGAAGAATGAGAATTACACCCCTTTGGATTTGTCAGTTTGGAAAGACACTACCATGTTGTTACAAACTTGATATTTAGACCACATGAGTCTGCTTATCCTAACCTAGCCTACTTTTGGCTTGGCTTTTCTAATACAGTCTTCAACTCGTTAATGTATATGTAAGTCTGTCACCAGATCAGAAGACCATGAAGGACCATATTTCTGTATTTTCTAAACAGCACCTAATCCAGACCTCTGCACAACTACTCAATGATGTTTGACTTAAGAGAAGTTCTTACCTCATCAGGGTCTAGAACTGATGTTTCGTATACTAATCCTTTCATACCCCTCATGCCACCATACATCTAAAGAGATAAGCAGAAGCAAAATGAGCATAATTCAAGCTTTGTTCTGTGAAAACTCCCAGAAAATAAAGGTGCTCCCTACCCCCCACACCTGGCCATGTAAAGGAGACCAAAATGACTCTCTGCAGAGCCATCAACTGGAAGGAGGGAAAATACTGACTCCATATAGAATGATGAGAGTAGAAATGGGTGGGAGGGGAGGGGAGGGGAAGGGGATCAAGAGCCTAATTTCAGACTCTAAAATTAGCTCAAAGGGGATATTATCCAGGCCCCTCAAAACTCTGACCTCCGCGTGCTTCTTTGTTCTTTTTATGGAACACTGTCAATGTAGCAGCATCACCCCCAATTCCCAAAACAGAAAGAGAAAAATATCTCTAAAAGGATTAGGTTTGGGGTCCAGTGACTACAGAAAGTGGTTTTCTGGACTGCTTAGACTAAACTTCTGAATGCACGGGGAGATATCATCAAGGTAGTATCATCATCATTATATTATCATCCTCTCCTAAGCAAAGCAGAAACTCTAGAGAAGGGGTGGTTACAAGGGGCTGAAAAGCAACGGAAGACATTTATCTTTCCTCACTTCTAGGAGCTTATATTAGATTCAAGGCTATTATATAAGGCTGGATGCTTCTCGACATTACCAATTCTCCCAATTCAGCACCCATAAACTCTCACCATGTCCACAGTGATCTGCCCCACTACAGTCTTGCCATGCTGTTGCCTGAAGTTCTTGATTCTACTTTGTTCCTTAGGTATCATGTTGCTGAGGATGTCCTTCAGATTCTAGGAGGAAAGATGCAGAGGCTAGGGCTCAGAAAGGCAAAGAACTTGTACCATAAAATACAGAAGAATGCCCACCCCTCCTCTTTCAGAACTGAAAAACCTATTTATCTATCAAAGCAACTGATTCAACTACCTAGTTAAATCAGGGCAACTTCAATATAGAGCACATTTCTCTTCCATATTTGATCTCCCTATCCTAAACTCTTGTGTATAGAAACAGTCAATATCTCTTAAGTTAGTCTTAATTCCTAGAAGACAGATAAAGGCTACTTCCAAATAAAGCCAAGTAATAATCCCATAATTATATGGTACTTAAGGTTCACCAAGTGCTTGCAGCATAGAAATCCAGTGAGGGCATTATACAAATATTAACTTTAGCAGACAAATGAGGAAACTGAGGGTCAAGGGAAAGAGAAAGGAATAAGCATTTACGCAGTGCCCTACTATATGCCAGGAACAGTGCCAAAGCACTTTATAAACATTATCTCATTTGAGCCTCACAACAACCCAGCAAGGTAGATGCTGTCCTTATTCCCATTTTACAATTGAAGAAACTGAGGCAATCTGAGGTTAATTGATTAAGGGTAATACAGCTGATATATGTACTAATCCAAATGATACTGGGATACTTTACACAATTTGATAAAATTATAAACTACACAGAAACAAATACACAAAACAATCAAGAGGAATAATTAAAAATGAGAACCTGATATGTCATATTTCAAAATATAACCTAAAGTAATTACAAAAAAACTAGTAGTGAATTTTTAAAAAAATCATTAGAATAGAATCCAGAACCTAAAGCAACTCAGTTTAATTAGCTCAAGATTATAAAACATTGGGGGAAAGCAATTACTGTTCAATGAACTGTTGAGAAAATTAAATACAAAAAAGGCAAAAAGGTTAGTCCCATATTTCACACCACATAAGATACTAAGTTTAAATGAATCAATAGGTAAATATTTGTTTAAAAACCATCTTAAATGTGGCAGAATAAAGAAATTGTACATTTATACTCAATTACCAAGGAAAAAACTGATGTTGAGTAAACTGGGGGCCACAACTTGTTACAAAGTAATCAGGATTTTTTGGGGAGTAGAAAAGGAAATTACAAGACATAGCTCATGCTCCATAGGGATACTGGAGGGAAGTAACACAGGACAGGTATGAGGCTCATTTATCTAATCTCGACTACCTATTAATGCTCTGAATTAATAATAATCAAGTGGAGTCCTATAGCCTGGTCTCCCCAATCCCTACTGATCTTCAGACCTATACCAAGACTTACTGTTGTAGAAGCACTGGCATGTCGGGCAGCAAGAACAAGACAGGATGCATTCTACAAGAGAAAACAAAAACCAGAAAAGGTGAGAACTCAGTATTAATAAAGTGCTCCTGCCAGACTACTGTGCCAACCTGGAGAAATTACCAAGAGTTAACCAAAAGTGACATTATCTCTTCTTTCCATCCCCCAATCTGGCATCCTAAAAATAGACTGGACACGAGAAAAAAGTAAAAGAACTGTCCCCTGACCAGTTAGGAAACAACCACCAAAGTACTTGGCCAGAGGAAGCAGTTACAGCCCAATTAGTATTCACTGAAGAGAGGAAGCTTCTGTCATCTGGGCTCTAGGTCGGGGCTTTGCTACGTACAGTAGGGAGGGCCAGTTGGACAGGGCTTATGCTGCTTTTTGGAAGCATAGTATGGGAAAGCACAGGGCTAGTGGTTAGCCTGCCTTATGAAAAGTCAACTCCAAAAACCTACTAGTTAATGCTCCTACTCAATCGCAAAGAGAAAAGCAAGTACGGCAAAGTCCTTAGTACTTCTGGTAAAGCAATTCTAGTACATATAATCAAGCCTTTGAAAGAAAGCCCGTTAAGTGGAAAGCAGCCCTTTGCACAACTGTTTTCAATTCTCTCAGGGAAAAGAAAGTAAGAGGAATGTCTTCTGGATCCAAAGTAGCTCACACCCTAAAGTGCTTTCACTTTCAGGAGAAGAAAAACACCTGGAATTTCTCAGGACGAAAGTAAGGCTGCCCCATAACTGAGGAAAGAGGAATATAGAGAGCCAAGTGATTTCCTGAGAATATTTTAGACTTAGTATGAAGATAGCACCTGACTCAGCCTTTGAGCCTAAATGAAATCTGGGAATTAGGGGCTGTAACTATAATTTCTACCAATAACATGGTCAGCACTCACACCTCACTAACAATTTCCTTGATAAACTTATTCAGAATTAACGTAGACAATTCCCCCCTTCCTGAAGAATACTAAGGCTATCATAACAGCTGTAACACTTAGAAAGAATATACCAGTTCACTGAGACAACCTCAGCTTAACTAACTTTTTCTCTCATCACTTCTTTGTTTCCTGTTCCCCCTACTCCAAAGTAAGATCCATCATCTTTTCTATAAGCACTGGCCTAAACAAGCCAAGGCAATACAATGTTGCTTTTTAAAGTCATACCGATGAAGTCTGGCTTTTTAATACCAATCATTTCCTGGATACCATCTCTTTTCACCATTCTCCCCACCCCAAAGCTCTCTTGAAGCAAGAAAATACTTAAGCAAAACTGACCCAGTGGCCTGCCACTGGCAGCATTTGTAATATTGGACATTCCTAGCTGCCCACTGCTACCAATAGTAGGTAAATGTATTTTACCACCTGTTTTTCCTAGACTGGCAGCTAACGAAGGCAATGAATCTTTAAAAAAAAAAAACTTATTAAAATTTGATACAACTGCTAAGCCCAACTACTTCTTCATGGAAGTAAGGAGTGATATAGTGATTATCACCTAAAAAACTTTACAGATGGAAAGAAGCCCACTAGAGAAATACAGTAATTCTATGGAGGTCATAAGATGCCTAGAAAACTTTAGGGACGTAATTCCAAAAAGTGAGAAAAGGAGTGGATGGGCTCTCCTCAAAATTCAAAGAATTCTGGGCAAAGATTGGCTTGAATCCATCCAATACTCCTTTCCTGAAGGGGTTGAGGAGGGAGACACACCCACCTCCAACAGGAAAGCAGATAAATTGCAGGGATCAACAAGCACCAAAGTGCCCCACCCCACACCCGCAAGGTAAAAGGGAAGCTTCAGCTTATTAGCCAGTGGACTCGCAGGTGTCCTCTTTAGTGTTTCCTGCCGGCCTCCTAGGTTAACTTCAGCTCCACACTAGCGTGTGAGGAGAAAGTAGAAGGAATAAATACTTCAAACCACAGTCTCCGTACTACAAACTCACTACGCTACGGTCTTGGCGAAGGCAAGACATTGTGAGCACCAGTTACTGGACTGTCAGAAGCGAATGAACTTTAAAGATTAAGTCTAATTTCCTCATTTTACAGATAAGGAAATCAGGCTTCATAACTGTTAGGTGACTTTTTTTCAAGGTCACAGGCAGTACTCCACCTGCCTCTAGTTACCCTCATCTCTTCTCACTTGCCTGGAAGAATTCCTTACTTCCTTAAAGATCTTTATAGTAACCCTTTCCCAATCCATCTGCTTATGCTTTCCTTCCCTAAATTTCATTTGCCTACTCTGCATATACTTATATATGTACAGGCTTCCCCCCAAGAGAATGTAGACCAGTGCCTGGCATCCTCAGGTGTTTGTAAGGATTTGTGGGTTCACTGGGTGAGTAGCAATAGGAAGTAAAGTCTATAACCATTTCTATAAGTCCATGGGAGCACTGACCTAGAGCTGGAAAAAAAATCTCCAAAAGCCATCAATTCCTACCCTGACTTTTACAGTTGAGGAAGCTGAGGCCCAGGAAATTAAACCATCTCATTTTATCCTGCTCAGTTCCATTTACGTATATCAAAACCTACAGCTCAAGAAAAACAGAGGGGGATTTTAAAGACAAGAACCCATCAAGTATCAGCACTTAAAAGGAGAATAAGTATAACTTTAAAAAGAAAATTGTATTGCCTTCACTTGTTTAGGCCCATGCTTATAGAGGGAAGTCTTTAACAAGGCAGCTCTGGCCAGTTGGTCTTCTGATGATCAGCCTCATTTCTCTCATCTTGTAAAATGGGGATCATACCATCTGCCCTGCCTACGTCACAGAACTATTACAAAGATTGTAATATACTAGAAAGGGACCTAGAGGTCATCTAGTCCAACCTGCTAGACTAGTCTGTCAGCTACAGCTGTTTTTCAGTCATCCAGGTAGGCTTCCTTTACTCAAGTTAGGAAGTCAAAACAGTTAACTCCCTACTTTACCTCCATTTCTTCATCTGGGTCTATACTTCCCAGCTCCTCACAAGACTGTCAAGAGGAACAAATGAGACAATATATCAATGTGTTTTGAAAAATATAACACACAATAAAATGTTGTGGATTTCTTCAGAGTGGGGGGAAGGAGTAAAGGGGGTGGTGGTAAGGAAATTGCAGCTACCAATTCAGACTGATAATTGTTCTGTCACTTACATAGTCTCAGAAAGTTGCCTTAGCACCGTGAGAGGCTGAGTGATTTGCAGTGATCACATAGCCAGTGATAGGACAGATGTGGGACTGAAATGTAAGTCTTTTTGATGCTGAATCTTAATAACTATGCTCTGTGCATTGCTGCCTCACTACACAAAAGCATGATATGCTTTATTTCTATGGAACATGGAATGATGTTGGATTACCACTTTGTTGTCAGAAGGTCACCATCTCTCCAGAATTCTGAGACAAGGAGAAGGCAATCAGGGTTTAGAGGACCACTGCTACAAGTTCGTAGGATCCTCTGCAGTTAGGGAACAGGAAGTTCATCTCCAGTTTCCCCAGCAAACTGAGTCTCATAGGAGGAAGATCTTCAGAGAAAAGAAAGTATACATATACCAAGGAGTTGTTTCAACTGCCCTTTAATCTCCATAAGCAGTGTCTACCACATAGAAAAAAATGAACTGGTCTGAGAAATGGGATGTTCCAAGACACAGCAAGAATCCACATCCTATTTTACTTGGCAGAGATTGCCATCTAATCTCTGTAAATGCACTGGCTCTAAGTTTTATCTGAAGTGAATGAACAGGTTCCAAACCTTTCAGGCAGTCCTGTCCTTTCCCCTACAATTCCGAAGGAAGTGTATTTGGGCTCTGACCCTCTGCCCTGGCCACCAGGCACAGACCACGTGGAAAGTCACTGTACTAGCATAGCAGCAGTCAGGTGAGTCAGGAATTCATTCATTCACCTTACCCAATAGGTCAGTTTCTTAATGGTAAGAGTCATTTCCCTCAATCAACCCACCAGACTCCTCCCCTGGAGTGGTCCTGGCACGAGATATCTGTCCTACAGAGGTCTGAGACAACTCTAATGGAAATTTTGGAGAAAACAGAATCTCATTTGTACCAAAGGAAACCATACAAGAAGTCCTTGTAACCACAAACCACCTGTCTGTTGGCTCTTTCAGTGTTCAAGGCAGACACATCTTTCCACTGTTAAGACCTTTTCTTTACAAGTAAAGAGATCAGAGATCATATTGCTCTTCCCATTTGCCTTCTATTCCACCCCACCCCACACCAAATGGCTTTAAGTACATCAGAACAGAGCAGGATCTAGATCTTTCTCAGATGAAGACAGTCTTTATCAGATGAAGATAGAAGTGGAGCCCGCCAAGCCAGCAAGGCAGGCATAGCTCTTTATTAAATTAAGGAGGAGAGCTTTGTGCTGCAGATGGCTCCCAGGGCAGATGAACAACTTCATTAAGAGAAAAACAAACCAGGACAGCACAAAGGAGTTTCTCTCCTCAGAACCAGGTCAAAGAACTAAATCAGCATTTGTATTTCACAGTGGTGTTGATTAGAAGTTTTCCTTGACTCCTTAGTCTGGCCACTTAAGACCTGAGTCTCCATTGCAGATACTACACACACCCTAGGAAAGAGATTTCCTTAAGCATAGAATCAGAGTTAAAAGAGATTTAAAGATATCTGGTTCAAAACCTTTCCTGATAGAATTCCTTCTACAGCATCCCTAACAAGTAGTCATAGAGGCTCAGAAAATCTCAGAATTATAAGGGACCTCAGGGGTCATCTAGTACAATCTATACATGAACAAGACCTCTCCTACACAAATATGCTACTCCCAATAGATGGTCATCCAGCTTCCACTTTAAGGGAATCCACCACCTTCCTAGGCCAGCCCATTTCACTTTTGGATAGCTCTAATTGGTAGGAAGGAAACAGATAGGTGGCTCAGTGGATAGAGTGCTGGGCCTGGAGTAAGACCTGAGTTTAAATCTGACCTCAAACATCACTAGCTGTGTGATACTAGGCAAGTCACTTAACCTCTGCTCACTGGAGAAGGAAATGGCAAACCAGTCCAGTATCTTTGCCAAGAAAACCCCATAGAGGGTCATGAAGAGTTGGACACAACTGAACAATTACAATTGTTAGGAAATTCGTCCTTTTTGCAAACCTGAAACTGCTGCTTAAACTTCCTAGTTCTTCCCTCTGGGTCTAAGCAAAACAAGTCTAATCCCTGTCTTCTACATGCCACCCATTTCATGAGATTATAGTCCACTAAACCCCACAGATCTTACTATAGGTTCTCCCATCTTATCCCTGAACATCTCTAGTTACAGGGAATTCATTACCACACAAAGTAGCTTATTCTGTGCTACTCCACAACTGTCTGTTCTGTAGTCTGTTGCCAAAAGTTTCACTGATAGTCTGAGAAGACAACGTCCAAAAACAAAGTTCACTCAAACACTAGACCCCAAGTCCTTTCAAGAAGATGCACTTTCCCTCTTACCTCCAGCTTCAGGGACCAAAATCAAATTAAACAAATACAATGCTACTATTCTGTTTCCAGAATCCAAAACCACTTAGCAACTTTAGTTTCCAAACCTCTGCTCCAGGAGCTTTCTTTGGGCTCTTTAAAGACATGTAAAGAACAAATCTAGAGAAGTCAGTTCAGAAGTTATATTCAAAATTATATAACCCAGTAGCTACATTTGCAACATTAACTAAAAGAAATGCAGCATTAATACACACAGACATGAAATAACTATGGTATATTCTAATGAAGAAATTAGAGATCTTAAGTCTCTTAATGCAACCCAAGAGTTCCGATCTGAAGAACACCAGCCTAGCGATGAGACGCTTCATGGAAGCCATTCATGGAAGAATGGAAAGGAGTTCAGGACCCAAAGAAAGAGAAAAGTTGGTGATAACTGAAAGGGCGCTTGTGAAATAGGTCAAGAAAAATGTACTGCTAAAATAGCCCTTTGGTCTAACTGTTTAACCTGATGGCGAATATACTGAAGAGGGTAAGGTATGAGCTGTCTTCAAATATATGAAGGGGTATCATGCAGAAGAATTAAAATGGCAGAGAACCAGGACAATTAGGTGAAAGTACGGGACTCAATTTTGGTTCAATATAAGGAGGAACATCCTAATAATCAAAGCTGTTTAAAATTAGAATGGATGTTTAGCCATTGTACTTCTTCTTTCCACATCAGCATTTTTTAATTCTCCCCATTAGGAGAAAAAGAAATTTCAGGTAAAGGAGCCATTTCTGCATTGGATGGACTAATAAAGCCTCATATTTACTTCTTTTTCTTAAAAATTTTACTGCACAGTACTGATTTTGCTTTGCAGGTTCACAGGCTCACAGGTTTAGAGCTAAATGGAACTACAGATGTCAATTAGTCCAAATCGATTTTACAGCTAAAGAAAAAAGACCTCTAGGTTAGGAGCTAAGATTCTCTTTTGGGATGAAAGGTGCAGAGCCAGGACTTGAATTGGAGTCCTTTTGACTCCAAACCTGGTGTTCTTAGCACTGTGCCATGCAAGACTTAAAGGTTCCATTCTAGGAATCACAGAAAATACTGCAAGAGCAGGGCAAGTTACAAGACAAAGCAAAGCACTTAATCCACGAATATTGGAAAAGGAAACACCCCACAGACAATGAGCTTTGGGCTATTTTCCTACTGCCAAGAAATTATTTTTTTCAGCAACAGTGGTGGCAAAGCCAAACAAGTGACTTCAGGAGCCCAGAAGTGAATGACTAGCTCTGTCCAACTCCCTGGAAGGCTTCTAATACAGGTACAATAAACTGTACCTGGGTAGGGCAGTCACATCACATTACTCACAGATTTTTATCATTACTGTAAACACCAAGAAAAGTTATGTGATGACATTACTCTTTAGGCATCAGCTATTTCAGATAAATGAGGTCAAAATCTCAAGCCTGAATTGGCATATCTATGCTTCCAAGGGATCATTTAAACTACTTGCCAGAAGGAGAAACATAAGGAAAAGAAATTATTTGGACCTCCCAGGAAAAGGAACTGAAATCTCACCTTGGTGGAAGAGGGTACAGTTGACCTTGAAGTTCAAAGAGCTAAGGGACACTTCTTTGAGGTCAGATCTCCTTTTGAAACTCACATGATACAAAAATAACGATGACTGCTGATTAATCCTTCAGCTACCTCTGGGGCATTGAGGCAGGGGGCAGACCCATTTGATGGAGCAATCTGAACATTTTCAAGGTTTTCCAGGAAGAGATGAAAGGCTACTTGCAATCTGGGTCATATGATCCCTGCTCTCAGTGCTTCCTCAATGTTGTTAATTTTAAGGGTCAAGAAAACTCCACTGAATTTCAAGTCTGGGCTCCTTGGGTTAAGCTTTAATAGGCCACCAAATAAAATAAACAGTAAGGACAAATCCCAGCCAAGTCACTTCTCTCCCAAAGCACTAGATTTAAAAGGTAAATGCCCAAGTTCCATTCTCTTTACAGTGAGGTTAACCTATCTGGTTTGCATTACCAGCTTAGGAATGTGCTAATTTTAGCATCTCTCTTTCCTCTGCCAATACACTTGCCCCAGTTTCCCAGGAGGTTTCCTCACCCTGTACCCTGAAAGCAGTGAGAAATAATAGTTAAATATCCACTTTCCAAGTGACTGGCCACTATCTTCTGCTAGAAAAGTCCCAAGGTAAAACTCACAGATTCTACCTAAGCTAAACTACCGACCAGGCCCAATATCAACACAAACAAAACTCCAAACTCTCCTCTCCCTTCAGGCCTTAGCAGTAAGGAAAGTGAGTTGTCAGAAGTAAGATCAACCAATCATAGAGCTGTTCCCTTCCCTATGTTAGAGGACTAGGGCTTCAACACAGGAATTTTTCTCTGTAAAAGGCATACTTACCTAGAGCCAAAGTTTCTGCTAATTTGAAACCTGAGACAAGTAGGACAAAACTCTGAGCTCAAAAGATAAAGAGTTTCATAGATTTACAACTAGAAGGAACTTCAGAGGTCACCCAGTCCACTCCCTCTCATTTTACATATGAGGAAATGGACTTGCAAAGAAGCGAAGTGACCTGCTTAAGTTCACACCCATGTGTGATCTGGGACTTGTAAAGAGTTCCTCTGCCTCCAGACACAATGTACCGAGCAGCCCAGGCTTCAAAGAGTTTTGAAAAAGAAGGTGCTTCGGCTTAGTAAAGATTATAACTAGCAGCAAAAGAGAGGGGCACACAGCTAACAGTGTTAACGTGACCTTGGGAGTACCCTTTTCTCTGTACCTCAATTTGATCACCTGCAGAATGGGTAGAATCCCGATCTTGCTTCATTCTAGATGATCAATGGCCTCACTGCCCTGCGTGAATTGTACAGAAACGTTCTGCCTAACCCAAGTCCCTCACGGTGACGGGGGGAGGGGAGAGAAAGCCCAAGCATGTGGTGGCCCCAAGAATAAGCCTCCAGCCTTTCCGTGAAGTAGGAGCCAACAGCAGACGCTAGCATCTTCCCCGCTGCCGGCAGCACATCTGGCTTCCGGACGTCGGCCTGATAATTACAAAGCTACTTCTTCTTCCCCCAGCCCAGGACTCCCCCGATGCAGGCAAGGCTCCTGCCCACGCACGCACGTATCACGGGACCCCCACCCAGCGCCGCAGTAGAGACGCCAGTTCCGCCCCGGGCCCCACGTCCGGGCCGCCCGAGGGTGGCTGGCTCCACACACCTCGCACAGCCAGGGGATCAGCCGATCGCACATGGCCCGGGGACGCCCTGGCCCGGCTTGGCTTCCGGCCGAGGGCTCGGCCCCTTTAAGGCGTGAGGGCGGCGAGAGGTGACAGAGCAGAGAGGTTCGGGGGCGCGCGCGGGCCTGGCAGCCGCCTCCACCCGAACCGGAGGCAGCGCGCTCCGCCTCAGTCACTCACCTTGGCCCCAAGGAGCCGGGTAGCCGCAGTGAGTAAGGCCATGGAGGACACCCTGGGGAACCGCTGGGCAGGGAGGGAAGAGGGGACCCACGGCAGGGACCGAAGCCGCGGCCACATTAGAGGCCGCGCCGAGGAGCGAACAAGGTTGAAAGAAGGCGGCTGAGGGAAAGCGGAGACAAACCGGCGGCGGCGCCCTGCCCGGGGTCCTCACCGAAGCCCCGCCTACTCCCGGGGCTCATTAGCATGGCCCCACCTCCCCAAAGGCGGGGACCACCCCTCGCAGTGCATTGGCGAAGCAGGGAGGATGGGGCGGAGCCTGTGCGGCAGATGGGTAGGTTGGAGGAAGGATTGGATTGGCGGGGTTATAGGGTAGTGAAAGGCGGGGAAGAGCATATAGGTGTCTACGTTTATGCCTGAGAACTTGGGTCTGGGCTCTCGCCCAGGGACCCAACTAAGACGGGACATGAGCACTTTGAAGAAGCCTGGAGATAAAAAGACCCCGACCTGGACCACCCTATGATGCCATCATACTGCACTGATCACAGGCCTGCCCCTCCCCCTCCTCGAAGACTCTTTTTTGAGAATGTCATTGGCTAATGACATCACCCCTCAGATAACCTTAATGAGGTCACTGGCTGAAGTGGAGAAGTCATCCTGCAGCTTGATGACATCACCAAGAGACCAGCCGGGCTTGTCTAGGGTTCTGACAGTAAGCTGTCAGTTCAGAGCTTGGTGCCAAGGACCCGGGGGCTGTAAGGATAATCTTCACACACAACGCCCTTTCCCATATATATGTATGCATGTGTACATATATACACATACATAGTTATATGTGTGCATGTATGTAAAACAGGCCTGGACCCCGAAGTGTCCTCTTGCCTGGGCAGCTATCTCAGTGACCACATCCCACATCCCACCTCATCAGGCCAGGAGTGCAAGGGCTGAAAACTGTCCCTCTTACACAGACTTCCTTTTAATCACATCTTTTTGCAGCTCACTTTCTTCCTCCAGAGCCTCTGGACTCATTTCTTTATTTGGCTTCCATCTGTGATATGCCCTTTTCATCCTATTCTTTTCACAGGTTGATGAATGATTTAAAACCAAGATCAACTCTTCTTCCAAAACACAGTTCAACTGCACTTTAAAACTATCTGACCCTCTCTCATTGTCATTGGCTTAGTCCAGGCTAATTGGAACATCTTTTCTTTAGTACCAAACTGGAAGAAGCCCTAGGAATGTGACTGTCTGGGACTTAACTTGGTTTGGCTCTCAGACAGTGGATCTGAGAAATAAAACTAAGGATCTCTAGTTCCCAGGTTCCTCACTCACACAGCCGCACACTTCTCTACCCGTTGCTAAATTGTGGAATGGACATAGGGAAGGTACCCATAGTGTTCCAGGTCCCCGTTAGTTTTGCTTTGGGACCAAATGATACCGAGCTTCCAGTGAAAGAGGTATCCCGCCAAAGAGAAGGGAGGTGAACTCAGCTGCCTCCTCGGCATGATCAAAGCAGCAGGGGTCAATATTTACTCCCAATTTAGGGTTCCTAGAGGATTTGCTCATAGCCCTAACACACAATCTGACCTGAATACATTCTCTCTGGTTAATCATCCACAGAGTCAGCAATCCTCAGGGCAGGGCTTCTTCAGTGCCTCCAAGAGGGAGATACACCCTCAGAGTGGGATGACACGGAGAGTAACTATAGGGCATACAGAGACAAGCCATGTTTGGTGGGCTTTAAGTGGTGAAGAAAGCTGCAAGATTTATTCTCTGATAGTTGTGCATAGTGTTGAATGAGGATTTTTTAGGAGCTAAAAGTGGTCTGTTAAGAGTCGACATAACTAACTCCATTTTGTTCTGTAATTGTTATTTTCTGCTCTATGATGTCTCAGCAAAATGTCTCTTTCCTTTGTTGAAAGTGGATTCATAGAATAACATAAGTGACTCAGTTTTGTCCTCTATTTCACATTTTTCCTTTTTTCTGCTGATACCTCTTTTTTAAAATTAATTTAATTTGATTTATCAACAATCACTTCCATAAGCTTTTGAGTTTTAAATTTTTCTCCCCCTCCTTCTCCATCTCCCTCCCCAAGATGGCACACAATCTGATATGGGCTATACATATGCATTCTTATTAAACATATTTTCACATTAGTGATGTTATAAGGAAGAATTAGAACCAATAGGATGAACCACAAGAAAAAGAAAACAAAACAAAACAGAAGAAAAAAGTAGCAAATAGTATGCTTTGATCTGCATTCAAACTCCATAGTTCTTTCTTTGGATGTGGATTTCATTTTCCATCATGAGGCCTTTGGAGATGGTTTAGGTCCTTGTCTTGCTGAGAAGGGTTAAGTCTATCAATGTTAGTCACTGCACAAAATGGCTGTTAACTGTGTACAACATTCTTTTGGTTCTGCTCACTTCACTCAGCATCACTCCATACAAGTCTTTCCAGGTTTTTCTGAAGTCTGCCTGTTTATCGTTTCTTTTTTTTAAAATTAATTTATTTTGATTTATCAACAATCACTTCCATAAACTTTTGAGTTTTAAATTTTTTTCCCCCTCCCTCCCCACCTCCCACCCCAAGATGTCATGAAATCTGATATGGGCTATAGATATACATTTCTATTAAACATATTTTCATATTAGTGATAAGAATCAGAACCAATAGGAGGAAACCACCAGAAAGAGGAAACAAAACACAACAGAAGGAAAAAAAATAGCAAATGGTATGCTTCAATCTGCATTCAAACTCCATAGTTCTTTCTTTGGATGTGGATAGCATTTTCCATTATGAGGCCTTTGGAGATGTCTTAGATCCTTGTATTGTAGAGAAAGGTTAAGTCTATCAATATTCTTGAACCAAATCTGATGAGAGTAAGGTTCAAACTATTCTTATCTCCCTCCCTTCTTTCCCTCTGCTGTAATAGGTTTTTGTGCCTTTTCCTATAATGTAATTTACCCTTGTCTGCCTCTTCTTTTCCTTTTCTCTCAGTATATTTCTCATTTAGATCAGATTAATCCATTTAACCCACTTGATTAGATTTTTTTTAATCATTACATCTAAGTCAACTTATACCCACCCCCTTTAGGTATACTCCTTTAACATGGTGTACTAACAATACTATTCTCAAGGGTTACAAGTGTCATCTTCCCTTGTAGGGATGTAAACAGTTTGCCCTTATTAGTAACATGTTGTTTCTTTCTGCCCTGTTTACCTTTTCATGTGTCTCTTGAGTCTTGTATTTGAAGATCAAATTTTCTGTTGAACTCTGGTCTTTTAATCAGGAAGGTTTGGAAGTCCCCTATTTCATTGAATATCCATCTCCTCCCCTGAAACATCATGCTCATTGTCTCTGGGTCTGATACCTCTTTTGACTATACTATCTCCTTCAATACCTCCCTTCCCCACAATGGTTTTAAGACTACAAAAGAAAACTCAGAGGACCTCAATAGTTCAAAGTGCTCCCTTTTCTTTATCCTGTCTAATAAACCACTAGGCCCTTAACAAGTGCTGATTAAATGCTTCTTGACTGATTGATAAAGAAGGTAGTTTTCTTGTGTATGAGATAAGTCGCTGTCCTAACAAGGACAAATTCTTTCCTCTTTTGTTTTAATTAGTACCTTTTCCTTGCTTTGTAGCAAGTACATCTTTTTGGCTTACTGGTTTTGGAGAGAGAGAGAGAGAGAGAGAGAGAGAGAGAGAGAGAGAGAGAGAGAGAGAGAGAAAGAGAGAGAGTGTGTGTGTGTGTGTGTGTGTGTGTGTGTGTGTGTGTGTGTATGTGTGTGTACACACACACACAGATCAGCTGAAGTTTATTTGTCCATTTATAACCTGTGCTGGCTTATCTGGGCGGTAGCTACTAAGGACTCTGAAAGTCATGGTGACTGCTGGCTTAGACTCTTAAAGACTCTCATCTTCAAGGACTTTCCAGCACACACATGAAAGTGAATACAAATTCAAGAACTTCTAGAGTTGTAGTCCAGCACCTTTGTGTTTTAAATTGAGAAAACATATAAACAGGTTAGTGTTTTGCATATTTTGGTTCCTGAATTTTGGTTCTGCATTGTCTGTCTCTTTTACCTCTTGTGACTGAGAAAACTTCATGTTTCAAAGGGAGGTCCTCCTCTATTTCTGAGTAAATATCTGAACTAGGAGAAGGATTTTTTCCCCCAAACGTGGTACTCTTTCACCTTATATTCTGCAGGCAAATAAGCAAGACATTTGTCTATCTAATTGTCAGTCTGTCATTTGTAATCACTGTATTGTCCCAAACACCCTTCCTTTCTAAATTTTGCATTCCATTTCTGAGCTGATATTAGCAAATTCCATATCATTAATGAAATCAAACGGATGCAAGCCTCAATTCCAACTTGAGCATTCAGTCTTCATTTTGAGATCCTCTGAATTCCCTTGGCAAATAATGATATAATTCTCACATAAACAAAGTGGTCAGTGGTCATTATCAGACCCAGTTCCAGAATAATGTTGGCAAATTGGGAAAAAAAATCCTAAGCAGGATTGGTCTGTCTCTCTGTATTTGTTGAGCTCTGTCAATCTAAATGGCCAACAATAAAGGTCATTATATGATACCTTTTACAAATTCTAAAGGTTAAAAAAGAGTCAGTTCTGATGCTAAACTCTCCTTTACAACAAACTATGACTTGTACTGACTCTTTGATTAAACTTTCACTGTGCAACTATTAACTCTTCTCTCCAGTTTGGAAAGAGATTTGTTTAAATCAGAAGGCAAATAACTTGGAAATAAGCAAAATTTTATTTTAGGAGAATGTTTTTACCTTGTCACCTTGTTTTTTCTGTGAATTATTTAACAGAATATAATTGTCTAGATGAACTGGAAGCAAAGTCAACTAAAGGAATTGGAATGGACTATGCATTTGCAAGCCCTTAAGTAATCAAATTGGAAAAGTTTTACCTGACAAGATAAGTGTACACTTTGAAAGTTTCTGTTTTGATCTGGGAAAGAGTAAAAGTTTTTGCAATAAATCAGTTGCATAAGAAAATTAGTTATGAAATTGACTTGAGATATTATTGGGAAGTAAAGATGTGAGAGATAAAGGAAAGGTATAATGAAGATATAATGTTGAATCAGTCTAGAGAGAGGTTCATCTTGGAAGTCTGCCTGCCTTTAATCAAAGTCCATAGGAAGAAAGGGGGAAAAAAAACCATTTGCACTAATATAATGTGAACATGAAGCTCGTTA